CAACTTAACTTTTTAAAATAAACTTTGTCAGAACTAACTAAACAAACAAAAAAGGGTGATAAAAATCAAGGCAAATGTCTTTTAATGGATTTCCATTGAAACAATTAGTTTAATTTATTTAAAGCCAACAAAAACAGCTCAAAAATAAAAAAATCAATTAATATCCAGAAACATAGCTTCAAACAATCCACCTTAGGAGACAGGACAATCTTCATAAGAGACTATGAATAAAAATCAGTTCAAATGCAGTGGCTCTGACATAATTTCTCTTAGTTTTGATATATACAGCATTTTCAAAACTGATGGGAACATTGGTACTTGATAGTGATATAAAATTGAACATGRACACCCCACCCATAACAGCATGAAGTGTTACATAAAACAACATGCTAGCCACCAGGGCCTCAGACACTCAACCTAACAGTGCAGGAACATAACCAGCGACAGAAAACTGGACCTACACATTTAAACAAGTCTGTGACTCACCGTTGTGCACAGCCCACATAATGCGAAATGCTGGGCCTCCAATTTCATCAAATGGCTTCCTGCGAGTAATTACTTCCCAGAGAATGATTCCCCAGCTGAAAACGTCACACTTCTCACTGTAATTGCTCCCTGTAAGTACAGAATAAGCCACGCAAACACGTTTTACTTTTCAAACAGGTTAGCAAAATTGTTATATTTTTTCATTGYCACTTCAGTAGAAAACAAAATGGAATGTTAGTTTCTTATTTTCTGCATCATCAGTGGCTTTTTTTTAATAATACTACAGTAAAAGAAAGAAAAAGAAAAAGTAGAAGAGAAATATAAGTATAGTAAAGAGAGAAACCGATAGAAAGTATACAACATGTGAAATGAACACCAACAACACACAGGACACCACACCCGACATTTGACCATCACACACAATCAGGCATATACACATACAAACATACACATATACACACACATACATGCCCATAACCCGAATGGCCATCACAGAGCAGGGTAGGTCAAGAGGAAGAAAAAAAAAAGACCCCGACACACACACCCCCACCACCAGATTATGGCAAGCCGTTGGGGTCATAAATCGGGCGTGTTTTTACGTGCAAATCCTAACGCGCGGTGGCGTAAATAACGCGCGAAAACCACGCGTGGTGCCGTAAAGAACGCGCGAACGCGCGGTGGCGTTACGCGCGAACGCGCGGTGGCGTTAAATAACGCGCGGTGGCGTTAAATAACGCGCGGTGGCGTTAAATAACGCGCGGTGGCGTTAAATAACGCGCGGTGGCGTTTTCTGCCATTCTATCATCAAGAGGCTGTCCTGGTTGTGCTCAGCCAATAGTCCTTAAGGTATTTTATCCAATCACTGCACTGCAGGGCAGACACAACCGAACAATCCCTGATCGTTGAAGGAATCCAGAAATATTCATCTCCTGTTTGCTGTAGTTAGTAAAAACACAAAGAATATACAAAATATAAGAGATATAGGGGATGAAGAAACTTGGAGTAGCAGCAGATTATTCATATGTGTTTAATATTGGGGGAGGGGGGTACATAATATTTGAAACCTGAAAGATACTTAAATTTTCTGTGCAGAAATGTGTCATAAATTAAGTACACTGTAAAACGTTTACAAAATTTCTTTTTGATCTTTTGTTTTCTTCTATTTTCAAATGTTTCTTGGAAAAATAGTGTTGTGGGCAAACCACCCAACCAAAAGGCTTTAATAGGGCTGCACAATTCTGCATACTGTGAAAATCATCACAATATAACTCTGCACAAAAKTTRTATTGCAAATGACTGCTTGGAGTGCAGTAATTGTTGACTRATGTATTGAACGAGTTTTGAAGTTGTATTTTTCATGTTAATGCAATATTTAGCCTGTMGGACAGAGTCTCACAGCAGCAAAGGTTCACAGCAGACACAAATGATTAGAAAGAAAGGAAAAGAGAAAGAAATTAATTCACACCTGATATCATCATTGCAATATTTACAGTCATCACAGCATTTTCTAATATAAAATATCTGTTCTGTGTTCCTCTCTCTTACCTGATGGTCCGCTCCTGTCTCTCCCTCACTCTTCCTGCCA